AGCCAGGGATGTCACAGCCAGGTGAGGAGCCAGTGTCCCGGCCCTGTGATGAGGTGCCTCAGGGACAGCCCCTGGGCCCCAGTGGCTGGGCCTCTGTCCATGCAAATGGAGCTGAATAGGCAGGAGATGGATGTGCTCTGGGCTGTGGTCAGCTCTGGACTTTCCCAGCACTGATGTTACCTCCTATGCCGTCCTGACCCCCTAAAAGCCTGGGAAGTCTCTGCCCAGCTGGTGAGGGTGTGTCAGGCAAGAGAGGAAAGAAGCCAGTTACCTGAGAGCAGCCCTGTGGCCCAGAAGGCTCGTGGAGCTAAAGCCTGCATCACTGTCCTCCAACCATGCTTCTCACGCTGTGTTCCAGGCCAGGGACCTTGCATGATTTTCACAGCCATGAGATAGCAGAACAGCTGACGCTGTTGGACGCCGAGCTTTTCTATAAGATAGAGGTAGGTGCTGAGTGGCCCTGTGAAGGGAAGCAGCTCTCTGCCCTAAGGAGGGCCCCTGCCCAGACCTAGGAATGTCACAGACTGTAGTGCCATCTCTTCTGTTCCCACCCAGATTCCTGAGGTTTTGCTTTGGGCCAAAGAGCAGAATGAGGAGAAGAGCCCCAATCTGACCCAGTTCACGGAGCACTTCAACAACATGTCCTACTGGTGAGAAGGAGCCACAGCGCTTGCTCAAGTGGTCTGCGTGGAGGCAGTCCACGCTTCCTTAGCAGCGAGGTTAACTGGTCAGTCCTCAGCTCTGTCCAGAGCCTGTGGGCTCTAACCTTGAACTGTGGGCAGCAGAGAGAAGCCGGGATGGGGTGGCCTGCAGAGCTGGTGGAGGAGGTACCACAGGCTCCGCAGTGCAGAGAAGAGTGTCAGGATTGATGGGTAACCTCCGCCATGAGTGACTGCAAGGCAGGAGGTGTCCTTTCCGTCTGTGTTGCTCATCGATACTTTCTGCAGTACCAGTAAGCCATCGGGGCTACATCTCACCTGACTGCCTGACAGAGATCAACTGATAAGCATTCCTGAGTTCTTAGGCGGGCAGGGTCTCTCTACATAGCCCTGGCTGGCTGTCCTGGAACTTACTATGTACCCCAGGCTGGCCTTGAACTCCCAGAGATCTGCTGCCTCTGCCTCCTAAGTGCTTGGATGAAAGTCGTGTGCCACCGTACCCAGCTTGTCTCTGAATTCTTAAAGCAGAATGAAGGCCAGCACTGTGTGTGTATAACCCAGTCATTTTGCCTCTTCAAGATGCGACTAGGTGCCACTGCCTCCTACTGCATCAGCCGTACCCCACGTGCCTGCCATGGCCCCAGGGGAAGTTTTCATTGCTTCTCAGTGTTCTTAGCACTGCTTCCTGGAGGTCTTGCTTCTCCCCCTGCATGGGAAGCATCCTCCCCTCAGCAATAACCACCATCCCAATCCAAGTGTGCTGGTTTCTAGGGCAGATAGGAGCAGCCTCCTTCCTGAGCCTTGCCTGATTCACAGTTGCTGACTACAGGAAGCCCGGACAGGCTGGAAGTACACGGTACCCTTTGGAGCCATGACCTCTGACATGTCCCTGACACGGGTACCCTTTACAGGATAGGAGTGGTCCTTGTAAACCACAGGAGGTTGAGGCCACCATGAGGTCAACAGGGCACAGGTGAGGCATTCCTTGGGTTTCAGCCTCAGTTATTGCTAAGGTTCTGAGTTTCCATCCCTGTGGCTGACCAAGTGCTTTCATACTCAACTGTTAGCTGAGCTGTGAGCCAGCATCAGCTCAGGAGGCCTTTCCCTGATGACAGGATGTTTCAGTCCCCAAGCCTCCCCTGCAGAGGTACAGTGAACACTCTGAGATCAGGGACCAAGTCCATGCTTGTGCTTCCCTGGGCTCTAGATGGGTAAGAACTTGTGACCGACTGGCACAGGGCCACCAAGCCTGTGGAGGATGGTCAGCTCAGCTGTCACTTCCCTGGCCCTTTCCTGCAGGGTACGGTCCATTATCATGCTGCAGGAGAAGGCCCAGGACCGGGAGAGGCTGCTTCTGAAGTTCATCAAGATCATGAAGGTAACTGGCTCAGTGCCCTGAGCTCTCCCAGCTCTGCCTGGGAAGACTAGAGCCATCAGCCCTCCACCGCCCCTCCCCCTCCCCTCACCACCGCCCCTCCCCCTCCCCTCACCACCGCCCCTCCCCCTCCCCTCACCACCGCCTCTCTTTGCAGCACCTGCGCAAGCTGAACAACTTCAACTCCTACCTGGCCATCCTCTCGGCTCTGGACTCAGCACCCATCCGCAGACTGGAGTGGCAGAGGCAGACCTCAGAGGTAGGTAGCAGGAAGTCTGGACAGGCTGGCGTGGACCTGAGCAAGACCGGGCGTGGGTCCCCATCTGGCCACCCACCTCTGTGTAACCAAGACCGCTGCCTCTCCCACCTCAGCTTCTGTCTCTGGTCTCCCTCCGGTCAGCAGGTCCTGGGGCTTCCGTGGCTGAGTGTGGGGTTGTTAACTCTCCCTGCACCCGGGTCCCAGCTTCACCTGCTGAATCCATTCTTTGGCCCATCTGTCCAAAGTGGCTGCTCTGGGCTCAGTACTGTGTATAGGGCCTATTGGGTGGGTTTCAGCAAGATGAATGCTAGAGGAAAGGACAAGTGAGCCCACCAGCAGGGTCTTCTCTGAGGACATAGACTCACATCACCCACAAGGGCATTTCACACAGACAGGCCTGAGACCCTCTGCCACAGAGGTTTAGCTGACACCATTAACAGGTGTTGACAGGGCCTGAGTCCGACATGTTATGGGCACCTGGCATCATCACGTGTCACTAATCCACCTCCTCTATCCTGCAGGGCCTGGCCGAATACTGCACGTTGATTGACAGCTCATCCTCTTTCCGAGCCTACCGAGCCGCCCTCTCGGAGGTGGAGCCCCCGTGTATCCCGTACCTGTGAGTCGTCTCCTCTCCCACACCCGAAAGTTCAGACACCTCAGCTCCCTCTGCTCAGTCTTAGTGGGGTTTTTGTTGTTTTCATCCTTTAATATGTATTTTAAGTGTGTATATACACACATGTGCATGTGTGTCTGAGTGTATATGTGTGCACAGTGTATGTAACAGTAGCTCACAGGGATCAGAGGAGGGAATGGGATACTCTGGAACTGGAGTTACAAGTAGTTATGAGTGGCCGTGTGGGTGCTGGGAACCAAACCCAGGTCTCCTACAATAGCAGTAAGCACTCTTAACCACTGAGTCCTCTCTCCAGTTTTAGTCTATTTGACTGGTTAGTTAAATTTCATAGCAACCACAGCCCTGCTGACCCTGCAGCCGGGTCAGCCCCACAGTCTCCATAGCCAGGACTTTCAAGTGCTCCAGGCTCTTCCAGGGCTGAGCTAGGTTTTAAGGGATCCACAGGGAGATCTGACCCAGCGTACAGAAGGCAGAGATGTATATGCGTCGACAGACCACTAAATCTGTGCTCTGGCTTACTCTGGGGTTCTCTAGCTGCTTGGCATGGGCTGCAGTTCTAGTGGCAAAACCAGCTCACAGCAAAACAGCTGCCTCCTGAGTCTGTCTGTCTCCATACGGTAACTGGCTTCTGCCTTCTCCCTCAGAGGTCTGATCCTGCAGGACCTGACCTTCGTTCACCTGGGAAACCCAGACTATATCGACGGGAAAGTGAACTTCTCCAAGCGGTGGCAACAGTTCAACATCTTGGACAGCATGCGGTGCTTCCAGCAGGCGTGAGTGCTGCCTGGTGCCAGCCTGGCCCCACTGCAGGGAGAGGCATAGTCCAGAGGGCCAGGAGTCTGCATCTGTGGGTGGGGTGCAGTCCCTGCTCCCCCTGGGTTTTATCAGGACAGCATGGGGAATCCACCTACAGGGCTCAGCTCTTTGTCTGGGCCTGGGCTGGGCCCTGTGGCGGCAGCCAGCTTGTCCTCCAGTTACATACACATCAGGAAGCAGGTACTCACCAGGCCGTAAGAAGGAGGCTGACTGGTCTACAGAGTTTCAGGACAGCCAAAGCTACACAAAGAAACCTTGTCTTGAAAAACCAAAAAAAGGAGGCCGACACTCCAGGCTCTGGCTCTAGAGCAGTGAGGGCAGGCTTGGACATCACAGCCTGCTCCGGATGGCCTGAGTGTGCCATGTCCCCAATGGGTCTGCGCAGGGGACCACAGGGAAGCCAGTTTCCCATGGGCTGCTGCTGCAGCAGCCGCAGTGCTGGGTGGAGATGCAGAGCTCACAGTGGGCTGCTCACACTGTGTTCTGGTGTGAGTGCTGCTGTCAGGTCAGGTCAGGTAGCAGTGACCCTGCCAGGCAGTTGACTGTGAGGGTCCACAGTGGTCTGGGCGGCACCCTGGGAGAGCTTCTGGCCTGGCTATTCAGCTAGCCCTGCGCTCACTGACTGCCCTCTCCCACCAGGCACTATGAAATCCGGAGAAACGACGACATCATAAACTTCTTCAATGACTTCAGCGACCACCTGGCCGAGGAGGCCCTATGGGAACTCTCTCTGAAGATCAAACCCAGGAACATAACAAGGCGGAAAACAGACCGGGAGGAGAAAACCTAGGAGCAAGCTGGGTGTGAGAATGTCAAGGGTCCGGAGAGGACCTGGACCGTCCCAGCCTCGGAGCCTGTCCCCAGCTTGGCTGTGTGGCAGTACCACTCCTGCGGGCTGGTTTCCTGCCTCTCTCCCTGTGGCTGAAGCCTCAGGGTCCACAGTGAGCTGGCTGGCAGGCCTCAGGACTGGCTTGTGAACTGGCGGCCCCTGGTCTGGTTTTGTTTTCTGTTTGCTCTCCATGCTCCTTCCCGTTCCCTGCTGTTCTCCTGCAGCTGGGGAGCGACAGAGACCTGAGCAGCAGACTAGGGCAGTGGCAGGCTTCACCCTTCCCAAGGCTACCCTAGCCTTCTTAAGTGGCAGACAAGTGGAGGCCCCAGGACCCAGGCTGCCCTCCAGGGCTCCTGAAGTCAGGGGAGATAGAGCTGGGAGATGGGAGGCAGAAGGCAGAAAAGGGCCATGGCAGGAATCGTCTGCTGTCCATTCCCTGCCTTTTAACTATGGAGGATGGGGCGTGTAGACCTGGCCCAGAAGGTGTGGTGGGTGACAGGCAGCAGCCACAGAGCTGGCACTTGTCACAGTACTGGCCCCAGACCTGCCCTGCCGTGCCTGGCCGCTGGGGCTCACCTGTTCCACCGTGACAGGACCACCAGGAGCACCTTCCATCCTGTTGCGCCTGCCCACCGTGGGCCCAGCCCACCCCCAGCACGGCACTCTGGGATCAGGAAGAGGAGGCTCCGAGTGGATCAGAGAGTGAGGCTCTTTAGTGACCTAGGGAGAGGCAAGCAGCCCCTCCATGCTTGCTGTGTGCCTTAATGCCATCTCCTGTCCCTTCCAGGCCTATGGGCTTCCCTCCTACTCCACCCCATCCCTGAGCCAGCAGGTCCCCTAGTCCCTTTCTACACCCTGCAAATGTCTGGTGTCCCCGAGAAGGCTGAACAGGCCTGGAGTGTGAGTGCCTCCAGAGGCCTGACTCCAGGCAGGTACCCTTCCCCAGTATGGAGCCACCCACTGCTGCTGAGGTCGACAATCGAGGGCAAGATGTTCAGGGCTCAGTGCTGGCTGGGCTCTCCCAGCCCGTGGCTCCATGGCACCACTGGAGCTGGTTGGCAGGGTGCAGGTCAGAATCCAGATGTGCTGCTGGCCCTGCCCCATGCCTCCAGTTCACTTTTGCATGAACAAGCACCCATTTCTTCTGGTCGTGGGGCTTGGTCAAATGGACACCAGGATCTCTGTGCTTCCTCAGCCCAGTCATCACAGCGGAAGAGAAGACAGCAGCTGCTGGCCGGGTACAAGTTCGAAACAACTGTCGCTCTGAACCCCTCCTGGGTTTTTTTTAGCAGCTTTTATCAAAAGGAACTATGGGCTATTCCTCCCCCTCTCCTGTTTATTTGTGATGTAAATAGAGGGGGGGCATCTGTGAACAGCCCCTTGGCTGGCTCCCTCTGGCAGCCACCGGGCAGGTTGTTTAAGGAGTGTGTGTGCGTGTGGAGTCAGGCTTGTGCGCAGTCGTGTGGGTCTTTGGTTTGTTTCTCCTTTGCAGGTCCTTTCATTTCAGTCTCTGCCTCCTGCCCTCAGCAGCTCGGAGTGCTCGGTGTGAGTGGGGGCACTGTGCACGCAGGGCCCTTCCTCCAGCCGCCTTCTGTAGCCCAGGCTGTCAAGACTAGCCTGCTGGTGCCACAGCAGGCAGTGCGTCTGTGGTCTGCATCCGTGGGTTCCCAAGCATGAGCTGGGCTGAAGGGAAGGCTCACCTTCCAGATCCAGGAAAACCAGGGCCTCCTGTAGTCCTGGGAGTCAGGACAGTGAGGTGTGATGTGTGGGTTTAACTTATTAGCCAACAGGCTTCCCTAGTCACCTGCCTCTGGCTGAGGCTGAGCCCAGTGCTCACTGCAGCCTGGCTTCCACGTGTCTTTTCTCGGGGGTGGGGGGCTGGGAGAGCTGTGGAGATCAGTCTCTGTAGGCATACTGAATGCCATGGACAATTTGGTTCTCAGCAGAGGCCAGCCCTTACCTGCGGGTTTGGTATGGCCAAGACTAGGGCAAGCAAATGCCACATCTGGCTGACCCTTGAACCGAAACACCTGCCTAATGCCTCCCAGTGTGATGCTGTAATATAAATCCCCCCACTAATCTGTCCAACAGTGGCATCTTCCTACAGACATTACAAGCGCGTAACTTTTATATGAAAAAATAAACAGACAAAAGCCCGTCTGATGCCATGTCTATGCCAGGCTTTCTGTGCCAGGCTGAACTGGGCCAGTCCCTGCCTGTTTGTGACCTAGCTGAAGGGGAAGGGTGAGGTGGGGCTCTGATAGGCATTCTGTCCTCAGACCCACTCTTGTGGCTGTGGTCTAATCTAAAATCTACTCTGGCTGAGTAAACGATGACGTCCCCGGCCACCGCCCCTGTTCATAGCCTCAGGGATGTTCAAACTGAGAGGAAACTGGAAAATGGCTTAGTGGGTGCAGGCACTGACCACTCTGACAACCTGATTCAGTCACTGGGACCCATGAGGTATAAGGAGAGAACCGACTCCTGGAAGGTGTCCTGTGACTGCACACACATACACGTGAGAAAAATAAAAAATACACAAGCATCATGCACAGGTAAGAGCTGCGCCCCCCTGCCCTGTGAGAGGAATGGCCAGGGTAGATTCAGGCTGCAAAGCTCTGCCTCCATGGTGCCTTCTGCAGGTCATTCCTATAACTTTCCCAGTATGAGTGCTGAGGAAAGCCATGAAATGCCCTCAGACCTTGAGAATGAAGTACCACACCCAGGAGGACAGCACACAGCCAGCCCTTGATGCTAAAGAGATGAAGTCAGAGAGATGGCTCAGCAGTTAAGAGCACTGGCTATTCTTGCTGAAGACCTGGGTTCAATTCCCAGCACCCACATGGTGTCTAACAGCTGTCTGTAACTCCAGTTCCAGGGGATCCAGTGCTCTCTTCTGACCTTTTCTGGCACCAGGATTGCAAATAGTGTGTGCATATACAACACTCACACACAAAAATCTAAAATTTTAAAAAAATGGAGTCTGAGCCACACTTGGTAAGTGGTACACATCTTTAATCCCAGCACTTGGGAGGCAGAAGCAGGTAGATCTCTGTGATCTCCAGGCCAACCAGGGCTACCCAGTGAAACCTTGTCTCAAAAAAAAAAGGTCTGGATACCATAGCAACAGAATTCATTTTATAACCTTCCTGTTGATACAGGAAAATCACTCGTGAAATCTGACATCTATGTGGTATATTTTTTAATGCTTTAAAATCTAAACCTACAGCACTTGGTTAATTTTTTTTAATCTTTTTTACAAAGGTAAAAAATTGGAAGGAAACCTTCCTTCTGAGATCAAAAGGCAGCTTGCCATCCACACTTCTGTTCAGTATTACAGTGCTTGCAATCCTAGTCAATGCAATAAAACAAGGAAAATGCCGGGTGGTGGCGGTGGCCTTTAATCCCAGCACTCAGGAGGCAGAGGCAGGTGGATCTCTGTGAGTTCGAGGCCAGCCTGGGCTACAGAGTGAGTTCCAGGAAAGGTACAAAGCTACACAGAGAAACCCTGTCTCGGGGAGGGGGGAAAAAAAGAAAAGAAAAACACATATGGGATTAAACACTGAAAAGGTAAACCATGAATGGATTACAGCATCATGTGAACATAAACTTCAGCAGACCTGTCAGACTTAAGTGGGCTTTAAAAGGAGAGAAAACTAAGGATTTGAGTTCAAATAGCTTAAAGAATAGTGTAGAGATGGTTTTGAAACATGCTAGAATCCACACATAAAACTAAAAAGCACTCAGAGGGAAGTGTTGTAAAAGACCTGTATGTAAGGGCTGAGTGTGTAGCTCAGTAGTAAGGTGCTTGCCTAGCATGGAAAGGCCCTAGGTTCAATCCCTGATACCATACCACATGCAAAAAGAACCATATACCTAAGGTCAGACATGTTGTGAAGATGTCAGTTGCCAGGTGTGGGTACACCGTGTAGCCTCAGCTACATACTGAGACTCCCAAAATAGTCCCTCACCCTCAGTTAACCACTGGTGTGAAACAGTTACTGTTAAAATCCCAATAGTGTGTGTGCAATGCACATGTGTAAACAGAGGCAGAGCCTTTTGTCCAGCCGCCCAGTCCCAAATAAACACACAAAAGCTTATTTTAATTACAGAATGTTTGAGCGATGGCTCAGGCTTATGACTAACTAGCTCTTACATTTAAATTAACCCATTTCTATTCTATGTATTGCCACGTGGCCATGACTTTACCAGTCCTCTGGCATCTTGCTTCTTGGGCGGATGGTTCTCATCTCTCTCAACTCCACTCCTCTTCATCCCAGTCCTCAGTTTGATTGTCCCGCCCAACCTTATCCTGTCTTGTCATTGGCCAAACAGCTTTATTATCAACCAATGAGAGCAACAGATATTCACAGTACAGAAGGATCGTCCCATAGCACACGTATCTGCACGGGTGTGGTGGCCAGAGACTGACATTAGATGTTATCTTCAATTATTAGCCTCCCTTTTTTTAAAGATTTATTTTTACCTGGCATAGTGCTGCACGCCTTTAATCCCAGCACTCGAAGAGGCGGATGGATCTCTGTGAGTTTGAGGCTAGGTCTGTAGCACATATCCTAATGGGTCTTAATTAAAACCCAGAGTCAGATATAGGGGTAAATGCTGAAAGATCAGAGAGACAAAAGAGCAAGCCACAGCCACCACCCCTTACCTCACCAACTCCTCAGCCTGAAAGAGACTGAGCTCCTGTCTCCTCCCACCTTATATTCCTCTCTCCACCCAGCTGTATCACTTCCTGTCTCCACCTCCCTAGTGGTGGGATTAAAGGTGAGAGACACCAAGTGCTGGCCTCAAAGGTGTGTGCCACCACTGCCTGGCCTCTATGGATGACTAGTGGCTTAGCTCCACACTCTGATCTTCAGACAAGATTTATTTGTTAGATCACAAAATATCACCACACAGGTCTACAAAGTGAGTTCTAGAACAGTGTGCTACACAGAAAAACCTTGTCTTGATTAAAAACAATTTTATGTCTGTGGCATTTGTCTTGGGGCTGGAGAGATAGCCCTGAGGCTAAGAGCACTGGCTGCTCTTACAGAGGTCCTGAGTTCAATTCCCAACAACCACATGGTGGCTCACAACCATCTGTAATGAGATCTGGTGCCCTCTTCTGGTGTGCAGGCATACATGCAGGCAGAACACTGCATAATAAATAAATCTTAAAAAGAACTCTAGCACTCTTAACCACTGAGGCATCTTCTAGCTAGACAGATCTTTATTATTAAAGTACATATATAAATCTTATTACTTCTGTCACTTTCTTTTCTTTTTTGAGACAGGGTTTCTCTGTGCAGCCCTAACTGTCCTGGAACTTACTCTGGCCTCAACTCCTAGAGATCCACCTGTCTCTGCCTCCCAAGTGCTGGAATTAAAGGTATGAACCACTCCCACCTGGCTTCTGTCACTATTATGAGCAGTATTTTGAATTTTTCAACTTACAAGCAGTTATGGTTGATTTCTGTATATTTATTTTATATCTAGTCACTTCACTGAGTTGCCTTCTGTTTGTTTTTTCATGGTATTCTAGCTACAGAATCTTGTCTTCTGATTTTCTTTTCCTTTAACACACTTTATTTGTGTGTGTGAGTGCATGTATAATGGGCAGCTGTGCTCCTGTGGAGCTCAGGGGACAACTCTGAGAAGTTGCCTCTCTCCTTCCACCATGCACATTCTGGGGATTAAACTTAGGCTGTCAGCCTTGGTGGCCAATGCCTTTACCTAACAAGCTACCACCCTTTAACTGCTGAGCCATCCCACTGTACCTGTGTTCACACCCAGTGCTGAGCCATCCCTCTATACCTGTGTGTTCACACCCAGTGCTGAGCCATCCCACTGTACCTGTGTGTTCACACACACAGCTGAGCCATCCCTCTGTACCTGTGTGTTCACACACAGTGCTGAGCCATCCCTCTATACCTGTGTGTTCACACACAGTGCTGAGCCATCCCTCTATACCTGTGTTCACACACAGTGCTGAGCCATCCCTCTATACCTGTGTGTTCACACACACAGCTGAGCCATCCCTCTATACCTGTGTGTTCACACACAGTGCTGAGCCATCCCTCTATACCTGTGTTCACACACAGAGCTGAGCCATCCCTCTATACCTGTGTTCACACACAGTGCTGAGCCATCCCTCTATACCTGTGTGTTCACACACAGTGCTGAGCCATCCCTCTATACCTGTGTTCACACACAGTGCTGAGCCATCCCTCTGTACCTGTGTGTTCACACACAGAGCTGAGCCATCCCTCTATACCTGTGTTCACACACAGTGCTGAGCCATCCCTCTATACCTGTGTTCACACACAGTGCTGAGCCATCCCTCTATACCTGTGTTCACACACAGTGCTGAGCCATCCCTCTATACCTGTGTTCACACAGTGCTGAGCCATCCCTCTACACCTGCGTATTCACACACAGTGCTGAACCACCTCCTCTGTTTCTCACACTTCAGACTCCACTTCCTTGTTTTTCCTATCTGCTTCACTTTCACAACAGCGTTGAGTAACGGACACTGGAGCTCTCATGGTAAGATCCTGATGCAGGTACCCTTGACAGTTTTATTAACGCAAGGTGTTCCGAGCAGCAACAGAAGAGCCAGGAAGCTCATTAATCACGCAGAGCTTCAAGCTGCAGTTACAGCCCCACTGCAGTTGAACATGATTCCCGCAGGTGACTCACAGCACCTCCACAGGAGCAGCCTTCTAGACATCTTTCCACCATGACTTATTTAAAAGGTGTGAGAGAATGGCGGAGTTGGCTGTTGGGTGCTATGAGGTATCTTTGAGGCATCTACCAGCCCCCAAATTCTTTTCCTCCTCTTTGTGGCTCTCATGCATTTTGAAGGTCAAGTTCTTGGTTCCAGAGCAACCCTGTATCCTGGATTTCCATAATGCTCACTGCAGACTTCCTTGTTCCAGGCTCCGCCCCCTGGAGGAGGGCTGGGCTTCCGCTTCAGTAGTCTGCAGTAGTTGTTGGCAGGCAGCAGGAAAGGAGGAGAGGCCAGCCTGTGTGTAAGCCTCCTGTGGGTTTTTTTGTTTTTTTTTTTTTTTTGTTTTTTCGAGACAGGGTTTCTCTGTAGTTTTGCGCCTTTCCTGGAACTCACTTTGTAGACCAGGCTGGCCTCGAACTCACAAAGATCCGCCTGCCTCTGCCTCCCGAGTGCTGGGATTAAAGGCGTGCACCACCACCGCCGGGCTCCTCCTGTGCTTTTAAGATCCATCCTAGTGCCCTCCTCACAGATGGATGGGACTCCTGTGACAACAGTCTTTCTCACAGCCACCTGGACTTGACCCCAGGGCACATGATGTGAGGACGGCCATGTATCATTCTACAGGTGTCTCACAGCATCTGGGGTGCCCTGATCTGAGAGCACTCCCCAGTCGGGACAGCTGTCCCCAACTGGGGGCCCAGCTGACCCTTTTTAGTTTTGAGACAGTCTCATGTAGCACAGGCTCGCCTCTAACATTCAGTGTAGCCAGGGATGCCCTTGAACTGTTCCTTCTGCTCAAGTTCTGGGATTACAGATGTGCACCACCATACCCCACTTGTGTAGTGCTGGGGAGGGAACGAGGGGCTTTGTGCGTGCATTCAACGATTTGAAACATCTTCAACCCCTCAGCTGACCGACTTGGGTCAATGACTGTAAAGGAACGAGTAGGAAGCTGGGGCAGGGAAGGGCAGAAGCCGGAAGCCTCAAACAGCCACCAGAAGCCAGAGGCAGTAAGGAAATACATTTATAGAAAAATGGCTCTCGGGGAATGAGGCATCCTGTGTAAGTGTGGGCCTCAGACAGCTCGGAGAAGGGCAGGCAGTGGACCTGGGACTCAGCTGCACACAGATGGAAGACAGAAAGTAGCAGTGTCCTCTGAAGTGGTGACAGGAATTCTGTCACTCCTTGTTGACTGACCACAGCATTCTGATCTCTCCCAGCATGGCAAGGGTGCAGGACCAGGCAGGAACTCCCAGGGAGAGCAGCACTCCTCTCCACTCTCCCAGGGAGGGCGAGTAGGACTAGAGCCAGATCCTGAGCTAGGCTGGAGGTGGCCATGTCCTCTGGAAGGCTCTGAAGATGGTGAGTTTAGTCTTCTGTGTTCTCCAGGAGTAAAGGTGAAGGCAGGCAGCCCAGGAAGACTTCCAGGCCCGTGTCCCTCAGATTAGGATCCCACCCAAGGCCTCAGTGGACCACCCATGGACAGGGCTTCTGAGCCCACCTCCCCTTTGCCCTGTATGAGCAACAGCTAGCCCCAGTGGGCATCAGGGTCCACCCAAAGGGAACAACCTGGCCTGCAAGTCCTGGGCCTCACTCAGGGGAGGTAGAGGGCCACCACCACATAGATGACCCAGCTGGTGGACACAAAGACCCCGAAGAGCAGGCTGAAGAGTACAAGTGAGCGGGCCTTCCTCGAAGCCTCCTCCGCCTGGGCCAAGTCACCCCTGCCCAGGGCTGCTCGAGTCTGTAACAAGACATCCCAGGGTGGGATACATCAACAGTGATCCCCTTCTATCCCCCCCAAACCCCACCAGCACACCTTAAAGACCAGGCCCATGCCTCGAGCCAGACCCTGGCAGCCTGGGAGTATTGGGACCCAGCCCCACAGCTCACAGAGGTGCAGGAGTGGTGACAGAGGCCCCTCTAGCACTAAATGTCCCCAGGCTCCTCTCATGCCACCTCAGAGCAGCTCTCAAATGGGGCTCACTGCACCCCACTTTGCTGACATGAAAGCTCAACAGACTTAAACGGCCTCCCTGGGCCACACGGCTGGTGGTGAAGCCACAATCCACTGTCCCAGCGCTGAGCTGCTTGGTCCCCTTAGTCCTGGCTGGTGCTAACCTGGAACTGAGACTTCCCCCCACTTCCCAGCAAGGCCAGACTGTTACCTGCAAGCACAGCCCCCCCCCACCCCACCCCACACCCAAGGCTTGCCTTCTGTCAATCAGAATGTCATGGCACCTTCATCAATGAGTCCCCTGGGCCTAACCCAGTGCCAGGTATGTGGACAGTAACGGAGGGAAGGTGAGGGGGGCAGATACTGGTGAGATAGAGGGGGGATGGAGATAGATAATTGTGCAAATGAATGAACAGGGAGAGAGGCAGGTGACTAGAAAATGGGAGGTGGGTGAGCGGAAAGGCAGGTGAAGCAGGTAAGCAGATGGGTTGATAGAGGACAGATGGGTGGAGGGTGGGAGGCTGAATTGATAGAGGAGGAGGGAGAGTGGAGGAAGAAGGGGGAACAGGTGAGGAGTTGTGAGCCAGTGAGAGAGAGGTGTGGACAGGCAGAGGGCAGCTAGACAGAGGGGCAGTTGAGGCAGCTGAATTGATATGCAGACTATAGGCTGCCAAAATACCTCAACAGGGCTGGGCAACACCTTGGGCCTCATCAATCATTTATGCCTTTTTTGTTTTAGAACTTGCCAGAACAAATCTTTAGTAATGAAGGTCATGGGGGGGGGGGGGGGACCAGACAAGAAAGGCCAGGTCCTACAACAGGGCTTATTCCTGGGTCCGGCCCAGCTGCTGGGTGGGACCCCTACAGGTCCCCAGAAGGGCAGAGGCTTCTGTCTTATGGCTGTGTCCCTCCCGGTCACCTACCTCATGGGAGTACACAATGGCAATAAGCCCTGTGAGCAGGCAACAGAACAGGGTCACCAGCACCGACTCCATCATGAAGTCCTTGGGCAGAGGCCTGTGCTCCACCTGCATGGGGGCAGGCCCACCGGCCATGGGGCTGCCATACTGTGGGACAGAGGCACTTACATGAAAAACCAGGGAAGAACCCCCTTCCCTCCTCACACCCACCCCAGGCCCCAGGAGTCCTCTCATCTCTGCCCCCCCACACACACACACTGCCTAGCCCAGGGCTGGCCACGGGGATGTCTTATCGCCAGGGAGCTGTAAAGACCGGGGGCTTCCACCTCTCCTCCACTGGCAACCCACAGCCGGCCGGCCTGCCTGTTTGTCAGGAGGGTCTCTTTATGTAGACCAGGCTGGCTTGAAACTCAGATTCTCCAGCCTCTGCTGGGATTAAAAGCCTGTACCACCGTAGTCCTGGTACTTAGGAGGTGGAGGCAACAGGATCAGGCATTCTCAACTACATAGTTAGTTCCAGGCCAGCCTGAGCTACATAAGACCTTGTCTGTAATTTTTGTTTGTTTGTTTAAAGCCAGGTGGTGGTGCACACTTTTAATCCCAGCACTCAGGAGGCAGAGCAAATGAATTTCTGTGAGTCGAGGCCAGCCTGGTCTACAGAGTTAGTTCCAGGACAGGCAGGGCTGTTACACAGAGAAACCTTGTCTCGAAAAAAAAAGTTTTTATTATTTTTCTTTCCATCAGGCTATCACCTCACATTCACTCCTTTGGGGCCTTCATCACTGATGTCACCTTCCTTACTCCTCTTACCACCACAGCAAACCCATCCTTCCCAAAACATCTGGCTTGGCCACTCCGCAGCCCGTGCCCAGTGTCATTCCTGGCCAGCTCCTATTCATGCTTAGGAACCCTGCTTGTTTGTCGCTTGTCTCCATCTCGAGAAATCTCTCGCCACCTATGTGCAGATCTGCCATGGGACATGCTCTCACCGCCGGGAAGGGGAAGGAGGCTCCGGCAGCAGCGGCGGGTGGGAAGAGCGGGCCAGGCGGCGGCGGGTAGAGTGCGGCGGGCCCGGGCGCCGGCTGGAACAGCACCGGCACCTGCGGGAAGGGCGGGTAGAGCAGCGCCACTGCCTTGGGGTCCGGCGGCGCGTAGGGCGGGGGCTCGCCCACGAAGCCGATGGGCGGAACGGTGCCGCCGGTGGCCTTGGGCATGGGTCCTGCCTCGCTCGACGCAGATGCGGGTTCTGGGTCCCCCCGGACCGGATCGCTGCCCTCTGCGGCCGCGGCTCCATCCTCGTCCGGTCCCGCGTCTTCATCCAGCAGCTGCGGGCGGCGCGGGAGCTGAGGGAGCGCCGGCTGCGAGGGACTACGCGGGTCCTCGGCGGTTGGAGGGTCCTCCGAGGCTGCGGAGCTGTCGCCCCCCTTGGCGTCAGGACCTGGGGAGAAAGGCAGGGCTGTGACGCCGGGCTGATGATCCCCCAGCCCAGCTGCCCCCAGAGCGCAGGGGAGGGACCCAGTGCGTCTCTCCAGGCAGCCAGGATTCCAGACCAATGCTCCCACCACCCCACCCCATGAGGTTCCTTTGGTGGTGCCTCCTCTTGAACCGAGGCAGAGCCCGACAATACTTTCTCTGACCTAGGGGACATTGACAGAGCACAAGCCGGAACTTAAAACACCGTGTCTTTGAGTCACCAGAGCTTGGGGAGGGGTCCTCAGTGACGGTAGTAGAGGATCTGCTCTCCCAGTGACCAAGAAGTTCTGAACGTGAAGGAAGGGAAACTCACAATGCCCAGGGTACGGGACATACTGACGCCTCAGCTCTTAGCAATGAGAAGGGTTTGTCGGTGGTGTGTCCGCTGTGCGACCATGAAAACCTGAGCTCAATCCCCAGAACCTGCATAAAAATCATGGCAGAAGTTTTCCCTCCCAACGATGGAGACTAGCCGGTCTCTGGGGCTCACTGGCCAGCCAGCCACCTTAGCCTAATTGATGATTAATAGCCAGTGAGACACTCAACAACAGAGTAGGAAGCTCCAGAGATAATACGTGAAGCTGACCTATGGCCTCCCCTCTTGGGAAAAGAATAAGGGCAAAAACATTCATGATAGAAAAGTTCATGCTGCGTGTTTTAAGCACACTTTTAAAAACTGTATTTTTTTTATATGCATGAGTGTTTTACCTGCATGGATGTCTGCGCATCATATGCATGCAGTGCCTGTGGAGGCCAGAAGAGGGCATTGGACCCTCTGGAGCTGGAGTTACAGATGGTTGTGAACTGCCGGATGGGTGCTGAGAAATGAACCAGGGTCCTCTGTGAGAGCAGCAAGTGCTCTTAACCCCTGAGCCATCTCTCCAGACCTAGCCATACTTTTTAAAAAAGCTTGTCTCTCCAGCTGATTACAACTAAAACCCCTGAGATAAAACACAAAAGCCACCAGAGGACACTGGAAGTGAGAACCGCAGGTAGGCGCCTCACCTCCTGCTCCCTGCTAGCCCAGAGCCCAGGATAAAGGAATGGCCCAGCAGGAAGAACAGAGGGGAGATTCTGGACTTCCTGAGCACTGCATGGGAGCTGAGCCACCAGCTGATTCCTTTGCCCTTGACTGTTTCTGGTCCTGGAGGACTCCAAGTCCTGAACAATCAGGGACGCTTTGACACTCTAGAATTAATCCCTACAAGTATGGAATGCAGCCCTGAGCAGCAGGTGTAGAGACAGACCCACACACTAGCACAGGAAGTCTGAGAGATGAGCCCACTATGGAAAGAAGCCACACACAGTGAACCAGAACGGACCGAGCTGAGTATGGAACACATCACCAGGGAATCACAACAGAGCTGAGAGGCAACACGGACAGCCTCAGCACCCAGGGCCCAAACCCCAATAATCTGCACTGCGAAGAATTAGGACAGTGTGAGCATTCTTCAAGAAAAGCCAAAGAGGGGCGGGGACCAACAAGCCGTGCCATCCCAGGACTCAAGAGACTGAGGAAGAAGAATTGCTGCAAGTTCAAGTCCAGCCGGGGCTACAAGACCCTATCTCAAAAACAGGAAGAAAGGCCAGCTGGATGGCTCTACATGGTAGAGCTTGCCTCTGGGTCTCGAGTTCAATCCCCAAGACCCACACGGTAGAAGAAGAGAAAAGACCCCTGCAAACTGTCCTCTGACATCCTCTGTGAACGATGGGCAAACACGCGCCCATGCTCCCGCACTCACTCTCACGCACGTGTGAGCACACACAGACAGCATAAAGAGAGGAGGAGGAGAAAGACCAACAACAACAACAACAAAAATACATAAATAAAAGTAAAGGAAAACCAACAAGCCTGGCATGGTGGCGCACACCTTCAAGACAGAAGCAGGTAGATCTCTGTGAGTTCGAGACCATCCTGGTCTACAGAGTGAGTTTCAGGCCGGGCAGCGGTGGCGCACGCCTTTAATCCCAGCACTCTGGAGGCAGAGCCAGGCGGATTTCTGTGAGTTCAAGGCCAGCCTGGGCTACAGAGCGAGATCCAGGACAGCACCAAAACTACACAGAGTAAACCATGTCTTGAAAACAAACAAACAAACAGAGTGAGTTTCAGGATAGCCAGGACTACATAAAGAAACCCTATCTTGAAAACCACACACACACACACACACACACACACACACAAAATAAATAAATAAATAAATAAAAATAGTAACACCTACCGACTCTGATACCCAGACACTGCAATTATAAAAAAAAAAAAAAAAGCATCCATGTTCTACAAAGTAAAGAGAAACACTTGGGAGCCAAGTTGCAAGTTTGTGTGTTTATTTTTGGTTTTTCGAGACAAGGTTTCTCTCTGTGAACTTTCCTGGAACTTTCCTGGAACTCACTCTGTAGCCCAGGCTGGTCTTGAACTCAGAGATCCACCTGGCTCTGCCTCCCGAGTGCTGGGATTAAAGGTGTGTGCCACCACTGCCTGGCACCAGGTTGCGATTTTAAACTAAATTTTAAATTATCTGAATTTCATTTATTGAGACAAGTTCTCACTATGTGTCCCTAGCCTGTGCCCTGGCATGATGGGGGCTTGAGGAGTATCTGATACTTGAAGAGATCACAACACACATTCTACTATGTTTGGTCTGATGTATTTGAACAATACCTCAGAGTTAAAACATTAGGAAAACTTGCTAAAGGCTGGGATGTAGTTCTGTGGTAGAGAACTTGCCGGGCATTCCTGGGACCCTGGGTTCTATCTTCCATATTGGAGGGAGGAAGGGGAGGGAGGATGAATGGAAATGTTTATGAAATTTGGGGTTTTGGGGGTGTTTTTTGTTTTTCCAAGACAGGTTTTTCAGTGTAGCCCTGGCTGTCTCGGAGCTCACTTTGTAGACCAGGCTGGCCTTAAACTCAAGAAATCCGGGGCTGGAGAGATGGCTCAGCGGTTAAGAGCACTGGCTATTCTTCCAGAGGTCCTGAGTTCAATTCCCAGCAACCACATGGTGGCTCACAACCATCTGTAATGAGATCTGGTGCCCTCTTCTGGCCTGCAGGGATATGTGCAGACAGAACACTGTATACATAATAAATAAATAAATCTTTGGGCTGGAGATATGGCTCAGAGGTTAGAAGCACTGGCTGTTCTTCAAGAGGTCCTGAGTTCAAATCCCAGCAACCACATGGTGGCTCACAACCATCTGGAATGAGGTCTTGCGCCCTCTTCTGGTCTGCAGGGATACATGCAGACAGAGCACTGTATATGTAATAAATAAATCTTTAAAAAAAAAAAAAAAAGAAATCCACCTGCCTCTGCCTCCTGAGCGCTGAGATCAAAGGCACGGGCCACCATCCCCGGGCTGTAAAAGTTTTTTAAAATCACGTGCACCTCCGAGGGATGTTGGGTAAGTGCACTTGCTAAACACACAAGAGGACCTGGGTTCATATCCACAGCACCCACAGAAAAAGCAGGGGTCTGTGGGAAATGGGGGTGTACACCAGAAACCCCAGTGCTGTGGGGGATGGAGATAGGAGGATGGCTGAAAATTTCTGAGCCCCAGTAAGAAACCCCCTCTGAGGGAATAAGGCAGCAAGTGCTAAACACACCTGAAGTCCACCTCTGGCCTCTATGCTCACTGTCAGCCCACTAGTTCACACACGTGCATATACAGAGTTAGACAGACACATACACCCACACCCACACACACACCACTGGCACGTTGGAGCTCCTCCCTTCTCTTGTAGGGAAATCCTTCAGCCGCCACTGCCAGTGAGCCAAAGTGAGCCTACTCCTGGACAGACGAGAAACAGCCTGTCGCCAGGAGCCCCACCCTACCCCACCCCCGCCTGTGTGGTCTGGCCTCAGAACCTGACACCCACCACTCTGGGCCTCTTTCCAAACCAACCATAAAATAAGGATAGATAATGGCAATCGCAGTGGCACACTAATGACAGAGAGCGGTTGACCGGGCCCTGGGGTCAGGTCCTCCCCGCGTGTTGAGACTCCTTTAACAGACCAGAGCACCAAGCGCCCAGCAAGCACTTCAGCGAGTTAAAGTCACTGCAGAAGGAGCCAAGGAGCCGGTCCCTCCAGGAAGCGTCACAGAAACGCCAGGCCACTGCCCCAGTTATCATAACAAAAACCTCAGTTTCCCTGGGTCCCGCCAGCACAAATACCTGGCCTGATGGCACGGAGATAGGGGCCTCTGAGTAAATAAATCCACTGGCTGCGCCCGGCTCTGCGGCCTGGAGTTCTCGAGTTCTCGACACCCGAGCCTGAGGCGACAGTCCAGCTGAGACAGGGGAGGGGATGGGGCTACTCCAAGGCCTGGGTGTTCTAGAAGGGGGCGGGGCACAATGGAATTCTGCTAGTCAGCCCAGCATCCTCTATAGTGGGTGCAGCGGATGCGAGGGGCACCCGGAGCGCATGATCGCGATCCTGCATGGATCCCAGCACCACCCGACGCCCCTCGAACCTGGGACTCCCCAGTGAGTGTGAGGATGCAGTTTCGGCCCCCGGGGTCCCCCGCTTGGATGTGTGGCCACGATGGGACCCTACCACGGAGCATCCACGCCTACCCACCCACCCGGCGTGGACCCAGTCTCCAATCCAGCCTGTGAAATCTTCCCAACTGCGGCTCTGCGTGCTCCTTGCTGGTTCACCCTAATTGAGGGGCCTCAGCCTGGTCCCGGGGGTGAACAAAGCAAGCATACGCCGGACGCAGCCAGGAGAGTCTGGGTGGAAAATGCAGAGCCATTTACTGCTGCCAGGGCACCTGCTGTTTACTGGGGGCCCGTTCTTCCTCCCCAGATGTCCCGCAGCGATGCAAAAGAGTATTTCCAAACTTTCCGCTGCAACCTCTTGGCTCCCGGGCTCTGGACGCGCGAGTGCCCGACCCCAATGTCGCCTCGCTTCTGCCTGCGCCCTCAGTTTCTGCGCTTTTCCCCCTGTACCCGGCACCCCTCACCTGCCTCCATGGCGGGATCAGCGTGGGTGCGCGCGGGCTGCACTGCTCTCGGCCTCGAGCCTGGGTCCGCCCCACTCGGTTGACGGTGCCGGCTCGGGTTTCCTGGTGCCCGCTGCACGACAGGTTAATAATTGACCGCCTTGTTTGTCCACGGCTGTGTCAACACGTCACTCCCTCGCGCCCTGGCGCTTGCAACCCACTCTGCGTCCTCCCGGTTTGGGCCAGTTAGCGCTGCGGCGGACCCCGAGGGCAAGATCCGCTCCGTGGAGCCGTAATTGAGCCCTTTGCGGAGTTGCAGGGTCTGGAGTGTGTGTGTGTGGGGGGGGGGGGGGGGGGGGTGAACATAAAAAAAAATGGGGCAAGAAGGAGGCACGTGCAATTCCCACAGGGTTGGGTAGAGCCAGGAGAGAGACCATAGGGAGAGGGGAGGCATGGGCCAAAAGCAAGATAGTAGAGCCAAGTCTTTTTGCATCGGCTTCGGGCTCCCTGCCCCAGAGAAGCCAGGAGTGCAGATTTCCTGTAAGGGCTGACGTTTAGAACAACATGTGCCTAACTTTCTTCCCGAGATGCACCAGGCCAAAGAATGTACAACAGGTCCGAACCCAGTCACCTGAAAATACCGCACTCACAACACAGGCATGCTTGGCTGCCTTTTGTATATTCACAGCTGAGCTCCCAGACAAGGAGGAATGTCATGTCGGGTGTTCAGTTCACGCGGGTCCGTGGAAGAATCAGGGTCACTCTAGGATAAATTTTAGCCTTCGAAGCCGCAGGAGACTCAGCCTCTGGGGAACTGACTGACTGTAGCTTTGCAAAAGGCTTTTTTTATGGTTATACAATTTACACCTTTAGCAAGGTAAATTTCCACATACCAAAACCTCTTATCTGAAGCTCCCCAAAGAGACAAATGCCAAAGGAATTCCCAGTCACAAGACATCTCCATTTTCTGAGTCTTCCCACAACCAAGTTTTGCATAGGCTTTGAACCTTTAGGAAACTCAGATAAGATTTACCTACTCCAAGCCGGGCAGTGGTGGCACACGCCTTTAATCCCAGCACTCGGGAGGCAGAGGCAGGCGGATCTCTGTGAGTTCGAGGCCAGCCTGGTCTACAGCGCGAGATCCAGGAAAGGCGCAAAGCTACACAGAGAAACCCTGTCTCGAAAAACCAAAAAAAAAAAAAAAAAAAAAAAAAAAAAAAAAAAAAAAAAAAAAAAGATTTACCTACTCCAAACAGAAGGTACAGGACACAAAAGGTAGCGATCACAAAGGCAGATCAAAGTCAGGTGCTAACACTCCAGAACCAAACCACTCAGAGCTCTGCAGGAACTCTCGCTATAGAGAAAATGTCTAGGAACTGAGGATGAGGACGGAGTACTTGAGAAGGAGGGAGCAATTGGCCTTGAAGCTTGGGTCTGTGAGGATGAAGAGATGGCTTATAGAGTTTACAAAGAAAGCTACTTTGACTCAGCAGAGCCTCTGAATAGGGAAATGAACTCTCTCAGGGAGCTGAGTATGGGGTTCAAGTTCAGCTCATCCACATGATCCAGAAGCCCCTAAACTAAGAAGAGATATTAGAAATAAAAGAGGGGGAGGTGAAGAGAAGGTTAAGAGCACTGGCTGATCTTGCAGAGGAGTTTGGTTCTAAGCACCCACATAGGGTAGGCTCACAACCACCACTAACTTCAGCTCCAGGGATCTGACGCCCTCTTCTGGCCTCTAAAGATACTGCACTTACATGTGCATACACAAACACAATGTCTTAGTTACTCTTCTATCATCTACGAAGAGACGCCATGACAGAGGCAATTCTAGAAGAATTCATTGGTCTAAGGTTTATAGGAAAGTGAGACCAACCAGAGCTGCAATGAGGCCAAAGAATGAAGCTTTATAAGGATATGAACTGCCAGGCTGTCTCTGAGAGAGGGGAGAGCAGCCCAGACAAAGGGGAGTTTGGGTTTTTATGGGATGGTTCGAGTAGGGTGGGATAACATTCAGGGGAAAGGGAATGGATGCAAAGAAACTGCCATAAGCAGAAGTTTTCACCAGTGCGGCCTGGGGTCTGCGAGACTGTCTCAATACATGAAAAAATGACAGACCTCTGTCTGGGAAGCCACTGCCTTGGGGAAGGAGCACTGAAGGCCCGAAGACAAACTCCCTTGGATCTGAGCTGCCATTCAATCAAGCACCCATGTCACAGGAGAGGCCACAGTAAGCATGTGAGGTGATTGACACTGGAGACACTCTGATTGACAGCCCCTGCCAACAGAAACCTCAATGGCAGCTGTGTGCATCATTCCAGGTGTGCTGTACTACCATACCTGCTGCTGAGTCCTCACACCAGACTGTCACCGAAGAAGCACCCCACAGAGAGTGCAGTGGGGCCAGGCAGCATCCAGAACCACAGGGAGACTTCGAACCGCTGCACACATTGGAGTAATGTGTTTCTAACAGTCAACAGCTAGATCCCACATCTGGAATCCTGCAGCTGAGCAAAAACATATAAAAGACACTGAAAAAAGGTTGAAGGTGGAGCTAAAAACACGGCTCAGTGCTTTATTTGTGGGATAATCTTTTTGTACACTGTGAAGATGTGTCACTCTGATTGGTTTAATAAAAAGCTGAATGGCCAATGGCTAGGCAGGATTTCTGAGCAGAGAGTACAGCCCCTTGGGGACCCACCCTGCATCCAGACACAAAGCCTCTTTTAAGGGAAAACCTCTCCCTTCTTCCCCTTCCTGCCTTTCTCACCACGAGGTGTGCCCACCTCTGCTTTCTCTCTCTCTCTCTCTCTCTCTCTCTCTCTCTCTCTCTCTCTCTCTCTCTCTCCTTATAATAAATTCTTCTCATGGATGCTTCATCTGCCGTGTGAGTAACCTTCCACCATCTGTTGTACCCACATGGCATGTCTCATCCGTCATGGGGCACCTTTGTCCAAACCCGACAAGGCCTCCCACACACGCCGTATCACTACAGAGAGGATGCTGGGAAGGAGATGCCAGGAGACGTAGAGCAAGCAGGATGGGCAATATGGAGATGAGATAATAAAGCCACAATGCAGAAAGTAAATTAATAAAAATGGGTTAATTTAACGTATAAGAACTAATTAGAAACAAGCCTAAGCTAAGGCTGTACTTTCATAATTAACAATGTCTCCGTGTCATTTTTTTGTGAGCTGGCAGCCCAAAGAAAAGCTGGGGGGCTGGGCAGTGGTGGCACACACCTTTAATCCCAGCACTCAGGAGGCAGAGGCAGGTGGATCTCTGTGAGTTCAAGGCCAGCCTGGTCTACAGAGCGAGTTCCAGGACAGCTAGGGCTGTTACACAGAGAAACCCTGTCTCAAAAGACCAACCAAAGAAAAAGAAAAAGCCTGACTACATATGTCGTCCAAAGTGGAGGCTAGAATATCCAAACATAGGGCCTGAAAAAGCTAAGAAAAGTTCTAGACAAGGATCTGGATGTGGCTTTCTAGTCCTATGGAGGCCCACAGAAGCTATCTAGTGAGACCTTACTCAGGGTCAGAGAATCTGGGCTTGCTTTACCCAGCAGGGCTGCATAAGGAGATGATTTGACCACGGGCATGTTTACCAGGGGTTTGGAAGGGTCTACACTTGGCTGTACATTGTGCTTTGATCTTGAAAGGGGGAGGTCTTTTGCCACTCCCCTTGGCATGTTATAAAAAGCCCTTTTGAATAAAGCTCTGGGCAGCTGGGTATTGATCTAGGGCCTCCCAAAGCTATCCTGTGTCTCTGTCTTTCTCCTCATTGTCTGGGTCTCTCTTCCTACCTAATATTTCCTCATTCTTCTCCCTTCCACCCAAGAACTCTTCAATACATGGGAGCAAGTCGGAGCTGGGCTCCCTCAGACTCCCACATAGTCCTGCAGTCTCTCAGGCAGGCTGGTGCTTGGCATACAGAGGTACTGTTACCAGCCACTGCCTTCGGGCTGGAGCCAGCTGCTAGCATCATGTGCTAAGCTGAGCCATGGCTTGTATCATGATCCAAGAGCATTGTGTGCTCAATAAAGACAGATTCAGACAGAGGGAAAAAAAAAAAAAACTCTAAATAGGTTACAGTATTGTTCAACAATGTGCGTAGGCTTAGGAAAAAAGAGAGAGAGAGAGAGAGAGAGAGAGAGAGAGAGAGAGAGAGAGAGAGAGAGAGAGAGAGACAGGTGATTGTTTAATCCCAGCATTTGGGACACAGAGGCAGGTGGATCTCAGTGAGTTCAAGGCTAGCCTGGTCTACAGAGAAATTCTGTCTTGAAAAACCAAAGAAAGAAAAAAAAAGAAAAAGAATACACATATAATATATAATACAGTATGTATTATATATAATAATATATATTATTACTATATATTATTTAAAAGATGGTTTAAAAATAATAAAGTCTTTAAAGAGAGAGGTAAAGTAATAAAAAAAGAATAAGCCACGTAAGGATGGAAAATATTGCAACACAGGGAGTTTGGACCATATATGGTGCTTTTTTAATTTTGAATTTTTGAATACTAATGAACAGACAACAGCTGCTGAGAGACATTGGATTGTGGAAGAGACTGCTGAATTAAACCAACCTATATACTTTAAAATGGAAGTCAAAAAATGTATTACAGTGGGGAAGAGGTTCTGCTTTTGTTGCCACAGGAAATGAAAGGCTGTGGATTCCTTCCAGGTTAATAGAGATCAGATTTGACTGGGGGAGACCTCCGAGTATCTTGGATATAGATAAGGAAGAGGAAACCAAAAAAGACCACAGGACAGGTGACATGTTAGCTGATCCCTCCACATGGGAACAGCTCAGAGACGACATGAGACATAATAAATCTTGTTGGCTACAGAGTCCTCATGACTTATTATTACATTCCATCCTTTCATATGGCATGGATAGAGATTTATATTAGAGTTTGGTTATGCAGTTCAAGTGGACTTATAAAACTAACAGATGCTTTTGCCTGCTCAAACATAGAACAAAAAATCATCTTTCACTGACTTGTTCCATACTTGTGTTAATGCAGATATGTATGTTACTTTTAAAAGTTTGTGTGTTTTCAGAGCAAGGGGACCAGACACCAGGACTGCAGACAAGCCTTGTGCTTTCCCATTGCACAGAGACTGAACAACAAATGTTAGGGCAGTTTTCCCAGGACATGAACATCATCCCAATTTCCTCAGGGTCCCCCAAACATGTCATCACCCCCAGACAACAGGAAGCAT